TTGTTCTCACTTTGTCTGTCTGTCCATGTCACTGTATTGTCCTATTGCACAATTAATTAAAAAAAAAAAGTATATTATTTATAAATCATGTTTAAGTATGGTTTCTTTTCCTAATAATGACTCTGCGCTTGTGTTAGCATTTTGGTATTTTGTTACTGACACTTCATGTTTTGGTTCTCTTAGCGAGCTCGGGCTTTGGCTGCTTCTGGTCCAGTGTTCTCAGGATTCACTCCCCAGTCCATCCTGCGCAGCAGCCTGAGGCCCACACCTGTCGCCACCCCGTCTGCTTCTCCAGGACGCTCCATCACACCCCCACTCCGCAGCAAAGAGAGTCGCATCACCTTCATTGAAGAGACAGAATCTCCTGAACGGGAGAAGGGTATCCGATGGACCAATGGGGTAAGACCAAGCACTATATAGGAGTGGTGTGTTGATGCTGAGAAGTCGTCTCACACTCTAACTAAAATGTGCGTGGTGGTCTGTCTAAGCATACTTCTTATCAATTATCATCCTCTTTGTTTAGCTGATAGGTTTGAGTTTGTCTTAATGATAAAATGTGTTTTACTATCTTCTTTGGAACTGTTTCCTCTCTAGATGGCAGCAGACAGTGAAATTAGCTTGCTGACCAGAGGCTCCACACTATCCAAGGCTACACATAAGACCTGGTCCTCACAGCCCGCAGAGGAGGAAGAGAATGGAGATGAAGAAGGGGAGCAACCTCGTGTGAAGTTCTTGCCTCCAGAAGGTGGTATTCCCTCCCCACAGCTGAGATGCTTTCAGAGCGAGTCAACCTCCATCCATGAAGTCGCTGCAGAAACCAGACCATCAGATGCAACACAACCACAACTTAACCTGAGCTTTGACACCAGCCACACATCTGTCCGTTCAACAGACACCACGCTAGAGTTTTATGATGCACCTCTTCCTGATCTCTCAGAGAACCAGGAGGGAGAGGAGGGGCACACTGCTACAGAGAAAGAAGAGGAGGTAGTGACGCTGAACATCAAAGACCTAGCTGAAAATCAAGAACCAGAGGAAGAGCCCACGCCAACCACTGAGCTAACCCCTCCCCTGACATCAGAGGCTGGAGAAAAGGAGGAAGAAGAGGAGGTGAAAGAAAATGAAACAGCTAAGGACGTGATGGAGATTGCTCTTGAAGAGGACGCTAAAAACGAGGAAGATGTTGAGTTCAAAGAGGAGGATGAACAAGATGTTGAGTCAACTCATGAGCATGAAGATGCTGCAGCTCCTCAGCAAGAGGAGATGTCTGCTCACAATGAAGGTAATTTATTTGCAGAATTTGCTCTGTTTGTTTCTCTATGACTTTTTACCAGAGATGGGATGCTTCACACCAGTACAGCACAGTCCCAGAATACAAAGATATGCCAAGCTTTGATATTTACTCTTTTTGAAATAAAAGGTGCTGAAAATATCCATACCTTTTGGCACACTTTAAAACATTGCTTGACGCATTTTCTACGCCACTAGTTTGTAACCAGGTAACTGAGAGCATGGACTCTAGTGCTGAAGTCGAATCTGCGGATCTACCAGTGGGAGAGGACGTCCAGACAGAACAGACAGAGGTCGCTGAATCCACAGAGTTCACCGAGTATCTGAAACCATCTGATGCCACCGAACCCACAAATGACGCAGAAGAGGAGCTGGAGCAATCAACAGGTTCGTCCATAAATGATGCATTTATACTGTGAAAAAACTCCCAAGTTATTACCCCTCATATTAGACAGGAACACAGTGATACATATAAACAGCAGTCAATCGATCAAACTTTATTTGTATATCACTTTCCTAGTGCTTCACAGCTGACTGACAAGCCGAGAATAAGACAAAGTGTAGATTGTGAACAACAAAAACAATTTGAGACCAATGCACACGAGACAGTAAGAATGATGAAAATGTAATAAAACAAGTTAGAATTACAGTAATAGTAATAAAGCTGTGTGAAATAAATAATAGGATTAAAAAACAAAACAAAAATGAATGACAGCTTGACAAAAACATCGACTGGAATCTCATAATTTACTCCTTCTGATGTGTCCAATGTCAAATAATATCAGATTTCTAAAATAACATGATTTACATAGAACCTTTTTTATTACTCAGTCACAACAGAGTAGAGTGCAAAGTAGCCGCCCTCCTCTCCACCCCCGCTATTAACATGATCAAAACATGGTAATTGTAATCACTCTTTCGGTTTGGATTGGTTTATTTTTTGGAGAAACGTGGTGAGAACACCCACAGTAAACACATTAGAATGTCCGGCTGGTTGAACCATCACTCACCTGTTTTCAGGTAAAGATTTTTTTGAAGATGGCACGGCAGTATAATGCACAGGAGGCGTGTTGGCTGTTTCAGGACAGTGGTGACAGTTTTAGCAGCATACCAGATCTGGAGGACTGTGATACTGTTGATAAGCTAACTTTTTTGGATGGACCAGATAGGAGAGCATTACTGTAGTCCAGCCTGCTTGATATTAAAGTGGGCTTTAGCCTCTGAGTGTCACTCAGAGAACACAGTGGGGAAATGGTGTAACACATGGCTTTTCAGTATAGGTTGAAGCAGTTATATTACCCTACCATGCCAAGGTTATAATGACCTCATACTAAGATGTTTCTTCTTTTTTATCTGACAGATCTGACGGAATTTGTGCAGAGACATCTCTTCGGCAGCGATCTGTCTCCTCCGCTCACCCGCTCAGGAATCCACGACGCATCACAGACCCTGACATCCTTTAACAGGTCTGTACCCTTCTTGTTCTCAAAAAGATGAAAGTAATCTCTTCATTATAACATGTTAAATTTCAAAGCCATCAAAAACATTCTTTGTAATCAATATCTCAGAAGTGTATAATTAAATAAGAATAAAAATCACTCAAATGTAACACTGAATCTTTTTAATTTTTTTCAGTCGCCCAGGAACCTTTTATGGGACTTGGGGAGTTTTATCTTCATTCAGCCAGCAGGAGTTCTAGTTTTGGTTCCTGGGACTTTAACCATAGTTGGACAAGGGATTGTAGGTCATGAGAAATTGAACATGAACAAACTCAAGGAACAGGAATTATTTTTTTTTTTAGCTGAAAATATTATTTAGGTCATAGTCTATATTGAAACAACCCTTTGACGTCACTTTGTCAATGAGTGTACGTATCAATTAAATGTGGGGATTTGGTTCGAAACTGCTACATTTGTGCTTTTCTAGCCCTTTCAGCTGTTTACTGTTATGTTTATGACAGTTTGAAAGATAATATTCTCCTTTCTCCCAGTGAGCTGCCAGGTGAGGCTGAAGAGGAGGTGCAGGCAGCTGTTGAAGCTCCACCGGTGTTCATCAGCCAAAAATCTACTGCCTCTGTGACATCCTCTGAGCCAACTGGCACAGACTCCCACTGTGAGGAAGATTTTACACACATGCACATTAACACTGGTGCTTTAACTGTTAACTGTGTCTTTTTACTGGTTTACTCACACACCTGCACTTCTCTGCTTTCTTTGTATCTCCTAGCTGTTGTGAGTGTAAATGATAGTGAAGACCTTTCTAGTGCTCTGTCTGAGGAAGAAGAAGAAGAAGAAGAAGAAGATGATGAGGAGGAGTCTGATCAAGCTGAGGAGGAGGAAGAGGAGGAGGAAGAAGGGGATGAAGAGGAGGAGGAAGAAGACTCTGGTAGTGAGGTGGAGATCATTGAGGAGGTCCAGGGTAATGGGAGACTACCACCCCTCCAACCCAGTTCAGTCTTCGTACAACAAGGACACACACACTTCCTGCCAGGTCTGTCAGAGCAAGAGGCTGCGGAGTTCTCTCTGATCACACCTGGCACAGAGATAAAGGTAACAAAGTTGTGATAAACATTTTGAATCCTTTTCTGTCATTAAAATTAATCGTTTAATCAATGAAGAAAATCAACAAATCATTTTTCCTGTGTGTTTACAGATGGTAGAGGAGGACATGGAAGGTGAGGTGGTGATGGTGAGACTCGGGGCAGATGAAGGTGGGATGGAGGCAGATGAGGATGAGCAAGGATCATCATACATGGAGCTCAAACCCTCCACCACTCTCCTGGTACCCCTGGAGCTTGTGGAGGGGCAGGACAGCCTGATCCATCCACAGCTGGGTCTTCCAGAGCTTCAGCAAACAATTGTGCCGGACGACCTGAGATCTGAATCTCAGAGCGGCTTCTCTCTGATGCTGGATTTGGACGAGGAAGGGGATAAAGAAGCAGACATGCTGCCCATGGAGAACGATCTGCAGTCCTCTGACCCTCCCACTCTGTTTCCAGCAGTGGAGGTTATTGATGAACTTAAGGCCAAACCTGAGGTTATTGTTCTGGGCACAGATGATCAGGATCCTCTTCTGTCTGAAGAAGTGTTAGAAGAGGACCACAGGGAAGAGATGGACACCTTGGATGGAATTGAGTTAGATGGACTGACAGAGTCAGAAATTGTAAAACTGGGTGAAGAAGCTGATGTACAAACTGAAAACACTGGGGAAAACCATGAGACAGAGGATACTGAGGAACAGAGCAATGCAGAGTTAGTAATGTTGGTTGAAGACCATAAAGCTGAAGGTCCTTCAGCCGCTGAACCAAGTCCAGAGGAAGACGTCCCTGCAGTGACGTTGGTTGAAGATCATAAACCTGAAGTTCTTTCAGCCTCTGAACCAAGTCCTGAGGAAGACATCCCTGCAGTGACGTTGGGTGAAGATCATGAACCTGAAGTTCTTTCAGCCTCTGCACCAAGCCCAGTGGAAGAACTCCTGGCAGCTGTTGAAGACAAAGACTCTACTGCAGAGAAAGATGCTACTGAGGAGAAGATGGGAGAGGACAAACCAGCACCTGCTGAGGACCAGGAAGAGCCTGAAGAGAATGGACCTGTTGATATGGACAAGGACACAATTCCCAGGACGGAGACATCAACTATTGAGGAGGAGAAGCAGCAGGACCACAAAGTGTTATCAGAGACAGAAGATAACAAGGAAGCCATTAATACAGAGACGGAAACAAAAAGGAGAACCAGGGGAAGACTGAGAAAAGATAACGATGTTAAGGAAGAGAAACCTATGGAGCAGGTTTTGAGCTCAAATACCCAACCAGAGGAACCATCTGTGCCAGAGACCCCCACTTCTCGGAGGAAAAAGAAAGCTCCCTCCACCCCAACAAGGAGGACCACGAGAGGGAGGGCGGTTACCTTTATCTCTCCCCTCCTGGAGGAAGTGGAGGAGCCAGAGGAGGAGGCAGAAACAAGCACTCTGGTGCCTGCCGCGCCACGTCGCACACCTCGAAAAGGTAAACAAACCAAAGACACTAAAGTCCGAGCTAGCACACCTCGAAGAAGTACTCGCAATGCCCAGCCAGAGCCTCCGAGAGACGAGTTTGAAGAGGAGGACGCCATGGATAATGATACCACAGTTGCAACAACCTCAAAGGTCTCTTCTCCAGCCAGACGGCGGGTTTCCCAGAGGGCTACCTCAACAAGGACCAGCCAGAGGACCCAGAAAGAAAGTGAGGAGGTGTCTGAAGTCAAAGATGAGGAAGAACAAGAGGAGGTCACAGATAGAAAACTTTCTCGACGACGGACCTCCAAAACTTCAACACCGGCTAAACAAAGAACCACTCAGGGAAACACTCCAAGGAGGTCCAGCAGAAGGATATTGAATAGCAGCGTGGTGGAGTCAACACCGTTAGAGATCTTGAAAGAAGAGGAACAGCTGGAGGTCACTCCATCCCCTGTCAGACGCAACCTCAGGAAGAGTAAAACCGAACTATCAGAGACGCAGCCAGCCGTGCAGGAGGAGAAAGAGGAGGAGCGAAAGAAACCCTCTAGCCCTGGTAGGGCGACTCGACAGCCCAATCGGATCACCCTAAATGTTTATCCAGAAGTAAGTGATTCATTTCTTTGGAAGTTGTTTATGTTAACTAAGCTGAAAACTGTCAGATTGATGAGGGATTTTCTGTCAGTAGCACACCAAGAATGTAAAGCTTCATCTTTTTCACCATCATCTTACGCTGACAGTTTGATGTTAAACCATCTACTGACTTTTCTCATTGAAACACAGCTTTGTTTTACTTCATATCATTTTAAGTTTCACCCTTTTTGTCCATTTTACATTATCCTGTATCATAACCCGATCCATTCATTGTCCATCATCAATGACCTTTTACACTCCCAGGTGAAACTGGTTCCTGTATCAATTCCTCAGAGTGCTAGGAAGACGAGAGGAGAGACAGTTACTGAAAATATAAAGAAGAGTGGAGTTCAACTTGAGCCTGAACTTAACAGCAACGCTGGTCACACCAACTCCCGTCGACCCACCAGAAGCAAACTCTGGGATCACCCTGAGGAAGACCTTCCCTTACTGGACTCACCGTTGGAGGTGGATTCTGAAACCCCTGTCGCGGACGCCCTCATCAAGAGACTTCAGGATGAAGAAGACAAGCCGGATGGTATGTATGAGGCTGCGTATGGACAGGAAATAGACCTGTGTTTTTCTGCTTCTCAGTTTATGAAAGATGTCGGTCGTAGAATTAAGAGGCTTAGATGTATTGACATAACTTGACACCTGTGGCAAGTGTCCAGTTTGTATAATTAGTGCGGATCCAATGAGTTTTTGAAATTTTGGGGAGGGGGCTGGGTCTGCGAGGACAAAGTTACAGGGAATTAAATGAGGTCACTTTATGACTGCCTGCGTGCTTTAAGGTCAGAGTCTTTTAAAGACTCTTTATGACAATATGTCAAGCTTAATTTGGACTGTTAATTAGCCTCATGCCATGTTCACACTGGACGCGCAAGTGTCCAGATTTGTTCATTGTTCGGCAGCCACCTGTCAGCACTCCCCTGTCCGTTCACACTACAAGCTAATTTTTCCGGGGCGGTCAGCCAGTTTTTCTGCTACTCTGATTGCATGTGTGTATAGCTCTGCTCGTCTCTCTCGCTCTATTTAGACAGAAATTACAATTATGTGGAAATATGGGATCCATATATTTTATCATTTATCAGTCAGAAATATTAGATAATATCTAATATGTCCTTTATATTGCTCAAAATACATTTTCAGTGAGTTTTCTTGCCTGATTCAATTGCAGAAAAAATATAGACAAGATGCCAAAACTATTGGGGCAGATCGCAAGCTAGCAACAGGGCTCAGCACCACACTATGTCCAGTGTGAACAGCCCAATCGACATTGGTGGCAAAAGCGAGCAGGTAGTGCTCCATGAAAAATCATTATAGTAACATTACCTATGTTAACATTATTTTGATGGAGTCTAGCTAACGTCACCATTTTGCACAAGATTATGGTATCAGTTGAGCTCCTCAGCTGAAGTGCCAACTGACTTAAACTCAACATTAGTCCCTGATGGTTACATTTTCATACCTCCATAGAAAACGGCAAACAGATTGATTTATAGAGAAACAAGTTTAACAACAGTAAAACTATATTGAAACATCTGTTTACAAACTCTCACACAACTTGTGAAGTATAATTCAAGTCTCATTTATTCAGTTATATGTACAATACTTTCCAAACACATGCATTCTTACTAAAAAACCTTAGCTTTGAAGAGAGCGTAAATAGACTGGACATAGACTGTAAATTCACATTTTAAAGCTCACATTTAAAACACCTCTTTTCTCCCCAGACTCCTTGACTCAGAATGATGTCAGTCGAGTCAGATTTGGCTTTTCAATACAAATATTTGACTCTTTTTGTTGTTGTTTGTTTTGTTTTGCTTTTTTTCATGTAGAGTTTATATTGATTATTCGCATCTCTGATTTTCAGAGGGCAACCTTACATCTTACCACCCTTTTCATGTGTTTGCATACCTGGAATAAAGAAGCTTAAATGTATGGACATAAAGTGTAAGAACTCTTGTGCGCTTACAGGAGGAGTGGTCGTCACCAAGATAGTAAGAACCAGCAAGAGGAGTACAAAGTCGTCAGTGGAGCAGGTTCACTCACTACTCTCTGTAAAAGACAGTCTGGTCCCTGAACCTGAGGAGGAGGAGTCTAGTCCAGGCGAGCATTCATTCATCTACTCCCCCTCACGAAGAAGAACAAGAGGTGAGCTGTTAATCCATTTACCTGTACCTCCATCCATCCATCCATCCATGATGGTTTTAACCCTGTGTTGTGTCTGTGTTTCAGCTTCAAGAGCAGAGTCTCCCGGCCCGAGTGAAGAGTCTGCAGCGCCTGTCACTCGCAGCAGGAGAAGAGTTGTCAAAGATGCCTCTGTTGCTCCTCATGTAAGTTCTTCTGCTTATGATGCTCACACTTTTTATGTGGAGGAGGAGGGATTTATTTTTTAACCTGTACATAAGTACTTTGTAACATGTAATCCAATGAGTTTATTGTACTCTGGCACAAAGCAGAGTAGTTTTTGTTTCTTCCTCAAGAAAGACTTGCTAACTGTATCCAAATCAGTTGCAGTGTTTCAATCACAGTGAAGTTTTGTGATTACTTTGTTTTCATGCTGTTCTTTATTTATTTTCAGGATGAAATTGCTTCAGAAGAAGATCAGGTTGAAGTGGAGAAAGCAGCAGGAGCTTCTAAGACCAGAAAAGCAGGCAGACCAACGGCCAAGTAAGATCCTGTTGTCCTCCTGCCTTATAGAGCCCTAACACTGGGTTTGCACTGGACGTGGAAGTGTCACGAAACGCAGCGATTTTCTGTGGAGTGCTCCCTGCTTCCTTTTGGCACCATTGTTAACCAGTTGGGTTGTTTACACTGGAAAACGTTTGAAACAACCAGGTGACTGCTTGAGTGACAAGTGACGTATCGGGGCACTTCCACGTCCAGTGTGAACCTGGTGTAAAACTGATGATTCAAGATAGAAATTAGTTTAAAGAATTTTATTTATATTTACTCTTGTGTGCTCTTTTTGTTTGGACTCAAAAACCACTTCCTGTTATTTTTTTCCCCCATCAGGTCCAAAGCAGCATTGGAGCCGCCTCCCGTAGCAGAGGTGGACCTGATCTCGCCTCTGCCCAGCCCAACTAGTCCAGTTCCACGAGCACTGAAGAGGATTATGGAGGGAGAGGCCCCGGCCCCGAGCATGAATCTGCGACGCAAACGCATAATGGACACCGTTTTCACAAAACCCGTCACACGGAGAAAGAAACTTTGAGGAGGTTGGTGGTGGGTTTAACCAGTGAACCTCAGACAGCCACCGGAAGATCTGAACCAACTCAGTCAGGAGCTTTCAACCCATCATGGTTCCACTTCCTCCGATGCCTCACAGGGCTGTGGCTGTCTTTGTGTATTTACTTTCCTCTCGGACAATAAAATAAAAGCAATTTAGGCATGAAAATATATTTTTGGGACAAAACACACTGGTGGATAGCAGTGTGAGAGAGGCATATATATTTTTGGAGTTTACACGTCCCGCTCATACTCACTTGATCTTGTGTCTGTGGCCATTTTGTGTTGGACGATTTGCGACGCTCCCCGTAATCTGCTTAGTTCTCTGGACACAGAATGAATGGCACAAGGGAAAGCAATCAATGTGGGCTTTTAGAAGCTCCCATTAATAAAACCAGAGAGACTGAACTGAACCTGCCTCAGATGAAGAGGTTTTATCACATTCTCTTTTATTTTATTTTTTTGTTTTGTTTTTGTTGTTGTTTACTTTTAAGATTTTCGAGGCCTGCTGTTTTTTCTTTTTAAGAAGAAAAGCAAACATCCCAGTGGAGACAGAATATTTCTACTGATAGATTTGTATATAGTCTTTTGCTATGTTCCAAATAAAATTAATAAATAAATCGTAAAAGGATTACGTTCATTTTCAAGCTGAATGCGTTTGATCATCTAATCAGACTGCCTACGCCATAGTCTTAACATTTGGGGGATTTTCTGTGAGAGGGGCAGACTTGTACACTAATGCCATCAGATCTGGACTGTTTTTGTATGTAATGGGGATGTTGTACAGTGTGAAAGAAACAAAAGACTTGCACAGCGGTTTGGAGTTGTTAAAATAGTTTTGGGACATGTTAATAGGCTTGTTTAATTAAATTTATGGCACCCACCATCTGACACATAGGCTATTTTCTGATGAATGTATGTAGAATGTCTTATTTTTGATGACTGCTCTTTGATAAATACGGTTAAGCTTGAATACTTCTCTACTCCTGGTGTTGAGTGATTGTCTCAATCCATTTAATTTACCGTCTTTAATTGTGTTTGTTAGTTTGGTGGGCGGACAGAACGACTGGGCCACAGCGCCCTTTTCTTTCTGTCTGATGTGTGCAGTGAACCACTGAGAGGAGCTACAAGCATCTCATTATCCCTCCTAACAGCAGAGACCAGATCCTGCTGCTGCCTCAGACTGGGTGTCTGCAGGTCCTTAAAATGTCTTTAATTTAATTTGATAAATAAAAGGCCTTAAATAATATTTAATTTGTGATGTCTGAATTGCAGCAGACATTTTATCTAATTTAATTTATCCATCTTTTAGTTGTGTGTGCCAAAATGATTCAAACTCTTCTATGTGAAAGCCCACATTTCTGACGTTACAAATCTTTTAACCTTCCACTGAACCTAAGAGTGTCTTTTTACTTCACACCTGCACCTAACCTGTTGGCAAAATGTAGATTAACCCTTTGAAACCTGAACGAATTAGCTTGACTTTTATTGAAAAACATGGAAAAAAGGCAATGAGAAATTTATGACATGTCCCATAAATTAACAAGATATTTAAATGTTTTAAAAAGTAACTTTAGTAACTAAGAAATTACCCCAAAATAACAAAAATTTAAAAAATCAAAAACAAACAAAAAATCACCTTTTAAAAAAAAAAAAAAAAAGTTTAAAAAAAAATTACCTGAAAATGAGAAAAAAAGAAAAGTAAAAAGCCAAAACCCCAACAAAACCTGAAAAAGATCGCTAAAAATCTATATCTATTTTCTGTAACATAATTTTAAATATATATTCAGAACTTGACATTTCCCTGTTTTTTTGATAATTTTCTAATAATGTTCATTGCCTTTTCCCTCATGATTTGATAGAAATCAAACCAAAAATCCATTTTTTTCAGGTTTTGATAGTTAAAGTGCTTGTGAAAGGCATCTGAATGCAGCACAAGAAAATGGATATCGATCCAGGTTTAAGAGGGTTTCACTTAACTCACTAATAACCATATTACATTAAACCTACCTCTGCAATGTTTCAAGAAGAAAAAGATAATTTGTCCAAAAAATAAGTCTTACATTTGATTACAATTTTTCTTTGAAAGGTCTTTAAAAAGCAGTAAATGTCAGTGTCTGACGCCTGCAGACTCCTGGCTCAGATATCAGACGTCAGATGAACCTAATCAATCTTTTAAATGTCAGGTCAGGTTATGGTTAATGTCAGAATGTATTCGCTGTGAAGTTTAATTTCAGAAAGTCACTGGAATGTTGACACAAACATAAACATGTCACCGCCCTGTGTGAATGTGACTGTTTCCCAGAGCTCTGTTTCTCCTCTATAATTTATAGCGTCAGAGCAGGTGAAAGTGAAACCAGCCTTATCTCCACAGCTCCACTTTACTGACTAAACACCAGCATAGGGACTAATGATACAGCAAGTTAAAAGCATATTTCTCCCCACATTAAATACTGATGATTAGTATAACACAACAAAGCACCAGTCATGTTGCCAGTTAATATTTAATTTTAGCATGTGGCACTGTCTACCACACATCATCGTCTGTTTTAGTTTAGACTCAAGTGTTCAGGGTCGCATCCACCTTTCATTAAGCAATGTAAAAGTTTGTTTGCCCCATCGTGTCAGTAAACCCTCATGAAGCCTTTCCTGACAGGCTAATAGAGACACCACAGTTTCTCCCCGTCACACTGACCTGTGTCCATGTCAACATGTAACCTGACACAGTTGTGCGTCGCAGTGTGAGGGAGCGGATCAGTCAGTGTGCCAGTCTCCTGTGCTGACACCTGCCTGCTGCACCATGAGGGCCAAAGCCTCAGACATGCACAGCAAGGACTGTGTCAAGGTGGCCGTCAGAGTCCGGCCGTTCAACAAGGTCAGTGTGCAGACGATTTTGTGGAGAGTTATTTATTTGCCTGATGTTTTCCTGATGTGTTTGCATTGCAATGTACTTTAACCTTATGGTATCACCCTCTCTGATATGTTACTGTATACTGTGTACACACTGAGTGTAAAGAAAGCCTGTGTAAACCACTGAGAATACAGCAGGTGAGATGATTAAGGATGGGGAGGAAGGATGTTGTGTGGCCTGGAGCTCAGATGAACACTAGTGGCTCTGGTGGCACAGCAGATATTTAGTCTTACGGGAGACACTTCAGGAGAACAGGGTGCAATTTTTTAACTAATAGATAACACCATGAAACTTTCCGAGTTTATTACTTACAGTAAAACAAATATTTTTTTGTGATGTTGCATGTTTAAAAATGCAGATGAGTAGTGGAGAGTATTTGGAGTGTACCCACCTCTTTTCCTGGCCATTTACAGTACACCCACCTCTCAACCAAAAAGCCACTGGAATATCTTGAACAGTATACCCACTCCCTCCTCGGTAACCTACCCATCTAACTAGCAGTACGCCCGCCTCATCAACTACTACTACACCACTGCAAATGAGGCATTATCTCATTAAATAAACACTGATTTGCATATATTTCCAGGGCAAATTCGGAACATTGGATAAAGTCAGGTTCAAATTTCTTGTTTCATTTTGTTGTCATATCAGAGCCAAAGTTTTTACAGAGGGAGTTTTGGATTTCTCTTTTCTTACTCCAAAAATCAGAAAATTCGGTCAACAGCCATTAAAAATAAATTTTCACCATGTTTTTAGGAATAAATTTTTCTATAAATCAGGATATGAATGATATATGAATAGATCCCTCTGTAAAAACCTTCAGAATATTGACAGGCGTAAACCTGGAAAGTTGGGTGTATGGAAGTGCTACAGAGTTTGAAATTTTTTTTATTCATCTGTTGTCTTATTTTTTGGTCTAAAAATAAGACAACAGATGAATACAGTATAAATTTTAACATATAGATATCATCATGAAACTTCCCCAGTTGATTAATTTCATTTAAACAATTATTTTTTAGTTTTCTGAAATGTTATGTTTAAATGTCTAAATAAGACATTATCTGATTATGTACTTTGCAGAACAAAAATCTGAACTAAAATAAACACCTAAATGTGTACTTTTGACCTTTTTTTTCCCATTGGCTTGAGGAAACATGTTATGGAAGCAAAATAACCCAAAATCTCAAAATTGACCAGTGCATGAAAAAACAATGTTTTCACCTGGGGTGTCTCGTCCAGTACTTACTTGTCCTTATTCTCCATTATCAGACTCTCACATAGTTGTTTATTTATTTCTTCATTGATTCCAAAGAATTTTTTTATCTTCTTCTTCACTTTTTCCTGTTTTTCTTGTGATCGAGATAAAATCCTCCCACAAACTTTTTCTCTTCTCCTCTCACCCTCCTTCATTTCCTCCCTCCTTTCAGAGAGAGCGGGATGCAGGCAGCCGATGTATCATCTCCATGGTGTCCAGCTCCATCACCATCCAGGACCCGCATGAGTCCCAGAGCCGTCGTTCATTTTGTTTTGACTACGCCTACTGGTCACACAGTGGCTTCACACGAGACCGTGGAGGCCTGTTCGTGCCTGAAGAGCCTGGAGGACGATACGCCGACCAGGTCAGCTCCAAGGCATCCTGGTAGAACAGGGAGAGAGTAACAACCAGCAGAACATAATGAATGATGTGTGATAAGCAAGTAGAAGATACAAAATATTAGAGATTATAAATGCAGACTGAGCTAGAATGACTCTGAGTGAGATGAAATATTTTCCGTCCCCAGGACAGTGTGTTCCAGGACCTGGGGGAGGGAATACTGGAGAATGCACTACAGGTAGCAATCATCAGATATTTAACTGGAGTTTTATTCAGTTTTATATCCCAGAGCTCTGTGGTTTTGTTCTGTGCTAGTGAGCTAAAATAATTTTAAGGTTCTACTGTGTCTCCAGTTCAGATCTGTTCTGATAGCTAAAGTCCTGACATGATGTCTGCAGGGTTACAACGCCACGCTGCTGGCCTACGGGCAGACAGGCTCAGGGAAGAGTTACTCCATGGTGGGTTACGGGCCTAACAAAGGTCTGGTTCCTAAACTGTGTGACCGACTGTTTCAGGCCATCAGAGAGAACCAGGACAGCAGACAGTGTCAGGTAAACTGTGTGTGTGGCTGTTTGGGGTCGTCATAAATTATCAGCACACAGTGTCGTGTACAGCCGTGTGGTAGTTGTGAAAAATCTGAATGTCTTTATTCTTGATGTCCACACAGGTGTTTTTCAGCATGTTGGAGATCTATAATGAGCAGGTAACAGCAGGGAAACACAGCTGCGGTCATTTTTATTTTTCCGTTCTGTTTTATTTTAGTGTAGCTGCTATTCATCAACTCCTTTTGTGTGTTATCTCCTATGTCTCTGCCTATTACATCCACTGAGAAGTAACTGCTTCGATAAATGACCAGCACTTTCTGCTTCCGTCATCTCTGCCTTTTTTTATTTTGTCCCTCTCCTCTCTGTCCAGGTGATTGACCTGCTGTCTCGGGGGTCTCGTACTCCAGGGGGGCTCAGAGTCAGAGAGGAGCAGCAGAGAGGTTTCTATGTGGAGGGTCTCCGCACAGTCCCGTGTGACAGCGCCCCACAGGTAGAGGGATGGATGGAGAGAAACACCTCAGCGTACAGTAACAGACTCTGTGAGACAGTGTACGGGAGCTGGATAGACAATTGACAGTGTTGTGTGCTGAAACCTGAATGACCTGCCAGTTTTGTAATCATAGAATTATGATTAGGAGCCATAAGGAAAATAAATGAGAGCTACTAGGGATGTTTTGGGATATTTCAGGTATCCTTCTGTACACTCTGTCAGTGTTTTGTATTTGGAATAGGGCTGCAGTGGTATGAGATATTCACAGTATGATAACTGTCTCAAAGAACATCACAGTATGACAATATTACACAGTTTTTGTTAATATTACCAGTTACTAATCAAGTGTTGGTGATTACAAAGGGGTTATATGCAAATATATTCTTCTCTGGGGCGCCGGTAGCGTGGTGGATAGTGCCGGCGCCCCATGTAC